AGGGGTTTGACGAGTCAGCAAAACCAGAGGAAAGGGTCATTTAAATGGGCTCTAAGGTTGCTGCTGACAGAACAAATTCCAGCAGCAGAGCAGCCTGATTTAACACCACAGCAGGCATTCAACAGCATTGATGCAGCTGCGACAACAATTAAATTGGGTGGGTGGGTAAACACATGAGGTGGATCCTAACAGTAACTTCCAGTACATATGGCAAAAAAAAAAAAAAGTACCAAACTAAGGTTGGAACAAGTGAGCAAGGGTTGTTGGAACTAGTGACTACGGTAGTCCAGGGACGGGCAAACTACGGCCCGGGGGCCAGATGCGGCCCGCTGGGTTTGTTAATCTGGCCCGCCAAACTTATCCAAATTATGTTATTAATTTATATTATCATTATACTATTGCCTCTTCCCTGCAATACCCATGTTCTCCCAATAGATGGCGTAGAAAATTATAAAGGTATTTTAACATTTTAGCCTTTTACAAGTCATTTTTTGTAGTTCACACGAACCCTCCATCTATCTGCTCCTGACCCGGCCCCCCCTTGTCAAATTTTAGGACCCATTTTAGCCCACCAGTCAAAAAGTTTGCCTAAGGTAAGCTAAAACAACTGACTTCTTTACGTCCTCGATCCCTAACATTAGAAAAAAATCTTCTTGTTCATTAACATCTTTTGATATTCCTTCAAATGTTTCTCATCTGGAAATCTAGATTCGTTGTCTGAGGGCATCAAGTTCAGTCAAGTTGAAACAAGTAGTAGTAAGAGGAGGAGGAGGAGGAAGAGGAGGAGGAGGGGGGGGGGGCGGCTAGGGTTTTGATTTACCTGAGGACTCGGTGTCAAGTGTCGCTCAGGTGGACTTTCACACAAACACACTCAAATTATATAAACTGTATAGAAATAGTGTATAAAGTATAAAGTAAATGGTGGCCATACTTAAGACTTACGGACGTCTCTTAAGACCTTCCGTAGTAAATGGAGGTCCTGCTCTTTAACATGAGCCGGTTGTCCCTACATGGCAATGTAAGAGACCGGGGTTCAGAATCCACTACAGATCTGCTGGTAAAGATAACGTTCATTTTTAGATGTAAGTGTGTTACCTTAACAACGTTGCTCCGAATGGATTATTTGTGGTGAGTCGGAGGCTCCGCGATGAAAATAAAACAAAAACACAGAAACTGAGCAGGAGGAAAACACCGAAAACACATCTACATCCCGACTTCCTGCTTTTATTGGTCAGCTGCCAATCCAAACAAAAGCGCAGCTCAGATCTGACCCCGTTAGCTGGGGCAGTGCTGAGAAAACACCAAAAGAAGTCGTAGACCAGGCGTGCAGGCAAACTTTCTGACTCGCGGGCCACAGTTGTCCTAAAATTGAACGGGGAGGGTGAACTATCATAAATGACATGTAAAGGTCATGCATAAAAGCTAATATGCTAAAATGTTTTTAAAATTTTCTACACCACCTATTGGGGAAACACGGGTATTGCAAGGGAAAAGGCATAAATTATATCATTTGGAAAAGTTTGGCGGGCCGGATTGAAAAAATGAACGGGCCGCATCCGGCCCCCGGGCCTTAGTTTACCCATGCCTGTAGACAGTAGATGTGAATCAAAAAGGACTCTTATTGTAATGACTCTGCCACGACGACTATACGATATATTTTGTAAATTATTCCGATATTTTTTTTTGACACAGTTCCTGCTCCTTCGTAATTTCCTGTATAACATAGTTTTCACCATGGCTAATGTCTCTCATCTGGTCACACGTGGGCGACATTTTCAAATATTTGGCTACAATGTTAGAGCCGTAGGCTGCATCCATTTAGTGTGGGCCAAAGAAAACAGCCTACAGTCCAGACCCGTATGCTGTCCAGACAGTGTGTGACTAGTGATATATAAGTTTTATGGTTGGGTGGTGTCAAATAAAATGGTCTGTTGATTTCCTGGACCAGTAATTCAGAACTGTTACAAAAAAAAAAACTGAAGAGCTGCTTGGGTTTCAATACAAACACGGTCGCCTTTGCCAAAATAAGAACAGCAGAAGAAGACAGGCAACATCTTTCCAGCCAAAGCTTCACACATTTACAAGGCCCCGAACTGCTGGGACTGACCTAGAGGAACAACATACACACGGCGACAGCTGATTTCCGTTCTTAATAAAACCCTAATGTGAAGTTTACACTGCACACTTCCCACAGAGAACCTGAGGAATAAGCAGCAGCTCTCAGTGAACTGTTGGACTGTTCTGCTTTACAAGATAACCTACGCTAGCCAAGGGTTCGTTTTTTGTGTGCGCGCTTAAAGAAACATGCAAAGAATTATTGTTTTACCAGCAAATCTTCAACAACACGATCATTATGGTTACAGTCACACGACGAGTTTTGGTTAATGGTGCACGCAATCTCCTCCACAGCCACTAGACCAGACATGGGCAAAACTACGGCCCGGGGGCCAGATCCGGCCCGTTTGGCCTTTTAATCCGGTCCACCAAACTTGTCCAAATGATGATATTAATTTATATTAGCATTATACTTCTGCATTTTCCCTGCAATGCCTGGATTCCCCCAATAGATGGCGTAGAAAAGGCTAAAAGCATTTTAGCATTTTATCCTTTATTACATGTCATTTATCTTAGTTCACACGAACACTTCATCGATCTCCTCCTGACCCGGCCCTCCTGTCAAATTTTAGGACCGCGTAAACAACCGCGAGCCAAACAGTTTGCCTACGCCTGCACTAGACCCTGAGTTGTAAAATTCTTCGTTAAATACAGATGGCAGCGATCTGTCTAAATCTGTGCACGCTCAGCTTGAGCTCAGATCACCGCTATTATAGCAAAAAAACAAAAAAAACAAAAAAAAACAACATTAATTTATTTGCTTCAAACTGTCACAAAAGTGACTGTATATTTATGCTAAGCAGCAATTCTGGGTGAACAAACGTGATTCTCAAACCTAACTAAAGTCTATGCCCTTTAGTTTTTTTCCATTTGTATGTGTGAAATAAAACAGTCAGGTTGAGAGAAACCGGGGGAAGGAGTACTGTTTAGGATTATTAGGTTCTCATTAAGGTTCCACTCTGGACCGCCGCTGTGAGAACGTTAGAGCGAAGAGGGACAGAACAGTTGAGGTGACGGATGACGGCCGACAAACAAACAACCTCAAACTGCATTTATGCATTCACTGCGTCGGGCAGTCGCTGTTGGCTAAACCGAATGCCTTGTGTTTCTACTGGCTACAGATAAATACAGGCAGCCATTGTGTGGTGGGATCGGGCCAAAGCGGGCCCCCACTGTCACAAAGCTTTCTCTGTGGTTTCACAGGAACAGTGGTTGGCTTGGTGATGAGCCAGTTCATCCCTCCTCTCACTCACCGCCGAAGCTCACCGGACTGCCTCTTGGACTGAATGTTCTGGGACAGCTTCAGCAGTGCGCACCGAGCCAAACCTTTTCAGACCGAACCTCAGTGCTCTCTCTCTCTCACTGCCAGAATAAACTGGTAATTGCTCAGTGAGAGGAGAAGAATTTCATGTTGGCCCACGTTCACCAATCTTGGATTCGCGGGGCAGACTCACGTCTGGGTGGTAAGAACTTGGTGAAGTAGAAGTCTGACATCTATACTCTGTTACATATGAGAGCCTAACATTTGTAAACCACTTGCTCCCAATACCAAATTCCATAGAGGGAAATCACAATTTCACATGTTGCTGAGTCACTGCTCTCTCCGTTTCTTGTGTTCTGTGATACGAACCGTTTGTTCAGATTCAGCCTCATAAATTTCTCAAGGTTTATTTTGAGCCGTGTCCCAGTGTCTCCCATTAATTGCGGGGACTGTGGCAGCCCACCACTGTCTCATTTGACCATAAAAAGTCATAATAATAAACTGTATTTCACCATCTCTACTTTCTGTCAGTCAGCCCATCCCGCACCTCTCTCTCTCTAGCCTGCGAGTGCAGACTCAAGTTGAAATCAATGATCGCATTGATTTCAACGCATCAGTCAACTTCTGACACCAGCATGTGAGGGAGGAGCCTGTCCGTTCCCCTCACTTCCCCGCTACAGTCTCCTAAAGTCCCATGGGAAACATTGTGTCCACTATGGTCTTAAAATGGTGATTTTCTGAATGGACTTTGGTCCAGTCAGTTGAATGCAAACATGTCTGCTTTATATATATGTTCACAGCAGATTTGCTGTTAACACGAGAATTTCCCATATAAGGGATCAATATATGGATCAAAATATGGATGGATGGATGGGATCAATATAGTTCAATTTTAATAATAATAATGTCCTGACCAAAACACAACAACACATCCAAAAGTCAAATCAATATTTCAGCTCTTAAGGGAACCCTGTATTTCTTCACCAACTCACTACAGTACACCTAAATATTTGCTGGTTTCTTGTTAGTAAAAAAAATCCAAACAAAGACTTTAAAATATCAAAGTTCCTAAGCTTCAGTAGTCCATAGAGATACATTTAAAATCCACACTATCACTTTTACTGCAACTATGTAAAGATATAAAGAACAGAATGTGGTTCACTTACTCATATCACTTGGTTAAGAACCAAAATCTGGTACTGATGAACTTCAATTAAATCAGTGTGTATGGTAGTTTTATTCGTCAGGTCTGGTACAGACCGTCCTGATTGGTTATTGGATCAGAAAAGTTAAATTAAAGAAGTTCTTCATTTCTAAGTGAAAGTAGGAGTTAAATATGCAAACATTTCTCACAGCTCCACCTTAAAACTTGTAGGCAGAAAGACAGGGACTTAACTCCACAACATTTCTGCAAATGAATTTCACTTTTAGGTCACGATGAGCGGCCGATCTTTACAGCCCGCATGACGTCCGCTTGTTTTCTCATTAAGTTCAAAGCCCAGGAGGAGGAAGGGAGGAGGGGAACACGGGAGGGTTTTTTTTTTTTGCTCCTCACCAGCTGTAGTTCAAGCTCACGTTTCATACGTGGAATTCAAAGACAGAACGGTGCGGTTGATAATCTTACCAGAGCAGAGTATCCCTTTGTGGCGAGCGCAGGAGAAGTCGTCGCACTCGCAGAAGCTGCCGTAAATCTTCCCAAACTCGGACTCGTAGCAGAGACACTGGTTACAGCTGCACTCCCCTCGGCCGCTGCAGATCTGCTTCCCCTCAGCTTCTCTGCAGGCGCTCAGGTACATGCTGCCGGCCTCGCCCTCCTGACACTCACAGTGAGCTCCCAGGTAGCCCGGTTCACAGTGACAGGTGCCACAGTTGTAGGTCCCTGAAATGGAAAAACGGGAACACGAGCAACGGTAAACCACTGTGCTCTTTAACTTTCATTAATATAAATCCAGTTTGAAATACAGTAAGGATGGAGATACGAGCTCCCCGAAATACGAGTTACAAGTAAGCAACTAGTGCAAGATTTTCCTCGCGATACAAGGAAACATCAAGTTACGAACGCTGAACCAAGCTCTATTTTTCCACCTCGTTTTCTTAATTATTATCATTATTATTAGTATCAATATATTTGGTTATATCTATAACCAAGCTCCATTTTTCCAACTCGTTTTCTTAATTATTATTATTATTAGTAGTAGTATCAATATATTTGGTTATATCTATATTTTTGATGTATAAATAGGGGCATTTTCATTTAATTAATTAATTGTATATTTCTAGGGAGCTGAGACTAATACGTTGATTTTTAGTTCTTTTTAATGGGGAAATTGCATATCGACATACGAGTGCGGTTGTAGAACAGATTTAACTTGTATCTTGACGCCCCACTGTATATGAGTTATGTCCATATTCATTGATTCATTGACTAAATGAATGTCTCTGGGGTCACCAGAAATGTATGATGTCAAAATCAGGTCGGATGCCAATAAAAATATTAGGAATCGCCGGTCTAAACTGTTGGAAGATAACTGGTTGATATAAATGTTTTTTTTTTTTAACCTGACTTTGATTTCTGTACCTGATGACATTTCCGTACTAGCAGCGGAAACCCTTTCCCCTCGAGTCTTTTACATCATATAACTCATCCTGTAGGGTCATCCACATTTATTCTAGATATCGTTTCTGGGATTTTTGGTGGCTCTGTTTTTAAACATCAGTAGAATCTTTCTTACAATATCACTCCGGTAGATTATGGTAGGTCTTATTTTTCTACAAAATCATAACGGCTACAATGTCTTATCTGAGCTGCAGGTGAGTGAGTCGGTACCTATAGAGCTGCAGATGCTGCTGTTGGTTTTCGCCGTTCGACTGCAGCCACAGTCGCACTGATAGTTCACAGTCACCTCCAGACGGTCCTTGAAGCCAACGGGTTTGATGGTGAAGCTGTGGTCAGCGCCGCGGGTCGGGCAGCTCCTCGCATCCACGCTGACGTTAAATGAAACCTGTGAAGGAATGGAGAATCGTCGGTAATCGTAAATTGTGCCACGTCATTGAAAAAATCACCGTGTTGAAACTGCCTTTCCCCGCATTTCTCTACGGCCCGAACACTCAGCAGTGTCGAGTTGATCTAAAGACCTGGACAACACATGACGTTATGATTTTACATCAGTGTGTTTGGACTCACTTGACCTTTGGGAGGAACAGATGAGGTTTCACTACAGAAAAAGAGGAAAATGACAAAAGCCCTCCACCCATTAGCCTCTCCCTGCTGTATTTTCTATTCGCTAAAACAGTTTCCTCCAAACGTTACGACTTAACTGAGACACTGCGAACACTCTTATGGACTCACGCTAAAAGCGCTAGGTGCAGATTGAGCAGCAGCTCCGAAGACACAATCGATTTGAGCTTGGGATGAAGTGAATGAAGTTGGAAAAATTTAACTTTTCAGGCGCCAGGATCTTCCCTTGAACTAGGAAGACTATTAGCCAGTTAAAATTTCCACACAATGCTGTTTATTCTCGTGTGTCAAACTGACTGTTTGAGCTGAGGATCTGCAAAAACCATCAGTGAAAATGCAGCTGTTGACAGAACAGATGCAAAACTCACATATTCCTATTCTGGATTTACTTCATTCATTTAAAAAACAAACAAAAAAAAACGATTTAACCGCACAAACAGCTTAGGGATGAATGCAGACTGAACTCCAACCGTCTGCCTCTGAAGACACCGTGGTCTACAATGACTCCTAAACTGCCTCTGAACCAGCTGCGATCATCGGACTCATCCACGTGTTTGACTGATTCCAGGCCAGTATCGGGAGCGGATCAGGATTACGACAGCTCTTCATCCCGTCTAAATCCCCCTCTTCACATTAGCGCGGGAAACCAGTGATTAGGGAACACAATTCAATTTACTGTAAATGTGAGTCACCAGGCTGCACAACCACGTGGATGTTTACGAGACACCGGGGGGAGAGGGGGGATTTGGGAGTGTGCATGAAGATTAGGTGGGCGGGAGGAGAAAGGGGTCACACACTGGGTAACATGGGAGTTTTTTTTTTTTTTTTAAACTAAGATTTTAATCAAAAGGACCAGTGTCATTGGGGACAAATCAAATTTGGATTGGGATGATGGAATTCTTATGACATCCGGCAATTTAATTAACACAGGGACAAAAAAAAAATCCATAAAGAGGTCAAACAAAACAACGACATCAGTGTCTAATTTCTTCCTGTTTGGAAATATCAGGGTAAGTCCAAATGTTGAAAGACAAATTAAGAAATACTTGGTCTGACCCAGTGCTTCTCAAGTCGTGGGGCGGGGGCCCTCAGGTGGGACACTGTGAGGCCCACCTGGGGGCGTTGTGATCCTCATCAGAAAGGTTGATGGCAGGTGACTGAAACCTTTCACAACGACCCATCAGACTCCTAACGGCTGTTTACACTTTCCCAGTTGACCCCAAGGCTCCAGCCAACAGGGGGAGCTGAAGTAACCGGTTAGAACTGAAGAAGCCTCTTGGATGAGAGGCAAAACGTCTCAACTTATCCTCGTTTTTCCAGCTATATTATAACCCGTGTAATTTACTTAACTTAATCACCAACATTTAAACAGGTGTATCATGCGTCCTTTTCGATTCTCATAACAGACCAGACATACACGGCAGGTCCTCGGTTTACGACGTCCTCGACTTACGGCGTTTCATGGTAACATCACCTTCTCTCGAAACTCGAAACAAGTTTCGTTCCATGATTCCAACATACGGCGTTAAAACAAACTTCTCAGGGAAACTAGCCGGCGGCTGGAGCGGATTAATGTATCGTCACATGGCGCTGTATGCAGAAGACGCCTTCGTTTTCATTTGCCGGTTGTGCGCCATGCATTGGACTGTACTACAGTTGTACTTTCCTTCTTTGTGTTGTTTTATTTCGGAGCTTTTTGTGAGTCGGAGTTTTCTGATGTTTTTACGTCTTAGATTACGACGTTACGTCTGTGTTCGCGTAGATGATCGTATCGTATGTATCGCGCCATAGGAACAGAGCTCTGATGTAAGTCAAGGACTCCCTGTACTATAGCAAGAAAAGCTGAACCTAATGAAGTTATTTTCTGGACAGGTCACTGACCTCTACACAGCTGCAGACATGTGCCTAATCATTTGCTACATTTGCGTCTCATTTTTAATGCTCAGTAACTAAACAACAGCTCTAGCGGAAACCAACAGGGTCGGTTAGCATGGATCAACATGGACCTTTTAGTCCCTTTGCATTTGAACATTGGGCAGTGAGTGACAGCCTCACTACAAAGACCTCAGCCAGCATGTTTTCTTCCTGCCACTTTATTCCTTTCACGGCTCACACTTTCACACACCCCCTCCGTCTTCCCCCCGGCCTGCTTTTGTCTTTATTCATTGACATGCAACAAGGCTCAACAGCAAAGTCACACAAGCTCTGAAACTACCAACCAGGCTGGATCTAAACTGCCAGAGGCCCTCGTCCTTCAGCTCCTCTTAGTGATTAGGATGAAAAAAAAAACATGGGGAAAGACCTCAAAATTCCAAAAGCCCACTTTGAATTCAGCCTGGAATACGCCAGCACCTGCTCCTGTCCCTTGAAGCGTCGGAAAATAAAGGCGAGAAGGAAAGTGAAGCACATTGTAAGCTCTTTTCCATTTTCTCAAAAGGATTCCAGCCTCAATACAGATGCAGAGTTCAGAGTATCAACAGAGACTGACAGGTTTCTGCAAACTCCAGGAACTTAAGATTAAAAGTGAGATGCTAAAATTAAGGATTTGGGGGAAAAATTACACAATTATTTGTAAAAAAAATAAAAAAAAGAGCTGTTGAAATTAACACTATTTTGCTATAAATCTATCAAATTAATCTGATTCATTTTGTTGATGCATTTTGACAAATGGGCAGAATGACTCGCATCATTCCACAATAGTCAATAGGCCTCCTTTCTAGGACTAAAATTAAATCAAAAGAATGTTTTGGGCTGTGTGACTAAATGAGGACAATGGAATTTATTTCAAAATTTCAAAAAAAAAAAAAAAAAAAAAAAAACTCTGAATTTGTCATAGATGCAGGCAGAATAACCACCGATCAGGGGTAATTTTTTTTTGCTCCGAATGGGGAACACGTGAACAGAGATCAGCTGATATTTGTCCCGTTAAGGACAATCAACACCAAACAGGAGAACAACAGGACTGATTGATCATGATTAATCTACAGCTACTCTGTTATTGATCTGAAAGGGGGAGAGAAAAAAAAAAAAAAAGCAGAACTAGCAATAGTGGTCAATCGCTAAAATACGAGAGGGAAGAGCTTCACCGGCTGCAAAAACATGGGCGTGAACAGAAACTGAAGAGACATTCTGCACAGATGTTTTCGCAGCGTGAACATGCCTCGCTGGTTCAAATTTAGGATTAGGAACTACTTTAGAGCTGAAGCTGTGCAGGTGTTAAAGACTTGATATGGAGCCTTGGGCTCATGTCTGCACTACAAGTAGCAGTACTGTAGGTTGGCAGCTTGGCCCAGGATCAGACCTTCAACATGATCAGACAGAAATATAGTTTAATTTATTTTAGGCTAAAATAATCCATTTATGAAGAGATAGCGGTCGTTTATGATTTTTTTTTTTTTAGTGGCCTCTCCTCCACGGTGAGTCCTTTTTACAACTTCTTGGAATGTCCTAGTTTTCAAACTAACCTACTGCTAAATCCAACTAATATCTATGTGAATGTAGCCTCAAGCCTAAAGAACAGACATGGGATCCTGTGGACATGCTTGGGCTGAAAATAAAAATCCCCAAAAATGTGGTTTGGCTGTGAGTTGTTTTTTTTTTTTTCTTCTTCTTCTTCTTCTGCGTGTTTTTACAAGTATGAAAGAAAATATTCAGAGAGTCCAGTTGAGGTTGGAAACGGATCTTGGTATTGTGGAATATGGTAGTGACAGGCCAGAGTTTAGCTGAAGAGTTTTTTGGTTTTTTTTTAACTTGTACACACTTTAAAACATAAATCCACCCAAGAGAATTGTTCAGAGTTTGAATATAAAGCCTGACCGTAGTCACCTGAAGAATAAACCTCAGGACAACTTCAAGTATGTGTTACAAATGAATGATTAATGACTGAAAAAAGGAATAATACTTGAAGGAAAAGGAATTAGCTTAGATCAGTCGTGGACAAACTTTTTGACTCGCAGGCCACAATTAAAACTTGAACGGGGAGGCCGGGTCAGGAGCGTTCACGTGAATTTAGATAAATGACATGTAAAAGTCATGCATAAAGGCTAAAATGCTTTTAGCCTTCTCTACGCCATCTATAGGGAAAATGTGGGCATTGCAGGAAAAAGGTTAGAAGTATAATCACAATACAAACCAATTGTATAATTTGGACAAGTTTGGCGGGCCGGATTACAAAGCTGAACGGGCCGCATCCGGCCCCCCAGCCGCCCATGCTTGGCTTAGACTAAGAGGGGAGGAGTGTGGACATGGACTCACAGTGTCTCCTATCTTCAGGTCGGCACACTTCCTCAGTCCCGGCAGAGGTTGTCCATCCTGACAGGTGGCAGTAACGGACAGACTGATGTCCTCAGGCTGGTCCCACACCGTCAGCTCCACTTTAGACCGGATATTCTGAGGAGAACAGGAAAGCACGTTGGACTTCACTGTGCATTTGGCAACAAGTGTGGATTTTTACTACTCTCGCCCCAACCAAAATCACATGTTCGTTTTTTGGTCACAGTTTGACCCCTGAGAGATTCATTTTCCTGCAGGAAACCCAGGGTTTGTTTTTCTTTGTAAACCACTTGCTCCCTGCGTCCAGTGGAAAAGACATCAAGGTAGACTCACACTGCTGTCTCCTGGAGGGAGTGTTACTTGTCTGAATCTTTATTAAAAAAAAATTAAACAATCATCATCTGCTTTGAATGGGTAGGAAAAAAAACGTCACTGACTTCTTAGGGGGTTGGTGTGGGGGGGTAGTGGAGTGCAGGCCAGCAGGGGACTGAGGAGGGGGGCATTTAGTAGGTTCAGCACGGTACAGAACAACTGGCCTTAGTGTTACTGCACCCTAAGGCCAGGAGGCACAAGTACCAGTTGTTTTTTTTCTGTTTTAGGACATTCAAATTTTCCATATCCCCAAACTGGAAAATTTGCTCTCTCCAGGTTTCATTGAATGCAGAGGAAGTGCACTTCAAAAACTTGAACTTTTCCTTTATTTCACTAGCCTGGTAAACAGACATTTATATAAAAACCACCTCAGTGTATATTTAATGCCTTTAAGTCTGGACTGTAAAAGAGTGAACATGTCAGACTGGTTAGAAACTGGTTTATAGTTAATCTCACCACAACCACATCTGTTGCACATGTTATGTAGGTTGTAGGTTGTGTGTGTGTGCGTGTGAAATGCCATGGTTGTGTGTTAACACCAACTGCATCAGGCTGAGTCACCGTGGTCTGAAAGTAGCAAGGACCTGTGGCAAAAAGGCACTTAAAAAGAGGAGTTAAAACTGCTGCAAAATTGAAAATGTTTTGGCTAGCACTGCAACAGCTAGCATTGTGAGCCCGTGTAGGACATGTTTTTACAGGTACTCATACAGCAGCCACATATAATGTGCCTCTTGGTTTAAAGATCGATTGTTAACTGTTCGCTTGAAAAATACATATTTAACTGAGTACGAAACGTCTTTCAAAATCAAAAACACCAAAGGTTACAATGCAAAAAAATCAACAAGTTAAACAGAGTAAAAAAGTCAAAAAAGAAATCAACAAGTTAAACAGAGTAAAAAACGAAATGCAAAGGGTTGGGCAAAATAAGCTAAAAATAGTTAATGATAACTAAGATGTAGACCATAAATATAATAAAGTGCTTAATGAAAAATTTACACTAAAAATATACCTATTACCACCTGCTGGTAAATAAGATTAGTCTCAAAATATGTGAAAATGTCTAAAAGTAGCAAAAGTAGCAAAATCAGCTAATAGCTAACTATTAAAAGTATCTTAAAACATCTTTAAGTTAAAGGTGTAAAGCTAAATTATCAAGAAACTATTGAAGGACTTAATTCTTGAAGTTAGCTAAAAAGCTAAATTTCAACTGAGCCAAACAAACAAACTAACACAATTTAGCTTAGAACAGCTAGCAACAAAAGTTAGCCAATAATATAGTCACACACCCACAGACCCAACATTTAACAAAAGTTGATTTTCTTTGATAGTCAAGGGTCATGTGACATTAGCCAAGGAAAAGTTAGCATCATAGCTTCTGTAAATTAGTGATACAACACAATTTTTCTCCCTCTACAAAAGCCACCTTTTCCCATTCTTTTAAAGCATGGCTACAGAGAGACTACAAAAACGACTGAGGTTACATAACAAGTAACCTCAGAGTTTTTTGGCAGAGTCTGTCTCAGCCGTGCTCAGCTGCAGGACATGATGTGGCAGCTGGAATGTTAATAAAGCGCCATCAATAAGCAGACACGCACGCACGCAGCCAGTGACATGGCTGCGTCCAACGCTTATTTCAGTGGCAGAGGTGACGCAGCTCCTCCTGAATGAAGAATAAGAACCAAATCTTAACACCCACGCAGAAAAAGACTGGACGGAAAAGCTGACTGAATCCAGAACAGTCCTTCTGTCTCGCAAACAGTAAATGGGCGTCGGACCTCTTCAAGTTTACCGGCCAAACACACAGATGTTTCCACCTTCAAGCCAAAGCCTTCGATTGTATTTCTACTGTAGCGCTAAGCATGTGCTTGTAGTTATTAATCACAAAATTAAACATTAAACTTGTTATACCGTCAATCAAATCATCATCAGCACCGAACTGACATCTATGAGACTGTTGCCTAGTTCTGTTTATTAATGGGATGGATTAACATGAAAATCATTAAGGAGGTTGTGTTTTAAGGCTTAGTTTTCTACAGTAAACAGTAAACAGGAAGTGGAAACCGATTCCCCTATCTTATCTGCCTTCACTCTGTACAAGCTGACATTCCCGTTAAAGTCCCACAAATGACCTTTGGTCACAAAGAACTCAATTGTGACAACCGCAGCAATTAGCCTCTCCACCTTAAATACAAATGTGAGACACAGCTGTGCAGGAAACGACTCGAAAAACATTGGCAAAGTGATAAAATAGACCAATCAAACAATTTGGTCATCTGTTGTTGGTACATAAATAACGCCAGGAATTCTGTTGCTACTTTGCCTTGTCGCGTTTCCGGGCGGCTTTCTCATGGGTTACAGTCACTGTAAGTGATTTGTAGTTTTTTTTCTAGAACATTCTTGCAGTTCGGTTCGGTTCGGTCTGCTCCATGGGTCACCATCTGGTTGTTGAAGCCCTCCTGTTTTGTTCATCTTCTAACTTTAGACAACCACTTGAAACACTCGGGGCTACACGCACCGCGTCGGGACAATTCTTTAGTCCCGCGTTATAATTTTATGCCTGTTTCGCCCCCTCTGCCAGCAAAGCTGTTGGCAAACGCATTTTTTTTTTTTGCCCTCACAAGTGAGTCAGGGATTTGAGCTGAACTTCGACTATGTCAAATGTCCATAAGAACGTGTGTTTGATCAGCTGTGAAGCTTCAACACCTCGTCAGCTGGAAGCTCATTCAAATATGTCGGGAGCAGTTCGGAGACTTCCCTCCCTCCGTGTGCTGTCCTCCCCCCTCCTCCCCTGTGGGCCACACAAACAGGACATCCTGCCCTTCACTCACATTGTAGGCTGCAACGATCAGCTGGATGACGTTCTTCGAGTCCTGATCCAGGATTTCGACCGTGGTCCCGGGTATCAACGCGGTGAAATTCTAAGTGAAAGAAAGAATTGTGCTGTGAAATGGAAGAAAAAAAAAAAAACACTCTTGTTCATAAAAAAGTAAAATTTAGAGTACCTTATAAATAATATACAGATTCTTCGTGACTGCAAAGATGAGGAAGATGTTATTCTCAGCCAGTTTCTCTCCCAGCAGAGCCAACGACGGATAATCCTGCAGAGACAAGAGACAAGAGACAAGAGGAAGGGAAATGTTTTAGATTGCAGAATGGTGACATTTTCTGTCCCTTCATGAATTTTGGAGGAAATGTCCCATATGTGAAGCTGTGGGGGGTTTTGTCGACAGCATATTCCTGTGGTTTATTTTCCCCACATGCAGTAAATTCCCTGCTGTGGTTTCTGTTGTAATAGTTCATTTAGAGAGTTTCTGCAAAAACTGTCAACCAACTGCATGGAGGTGTCAGGCAGAACACCAGGAGAGAGGAGTCAGTGTGGCTAAAACTGTGGGACATTTTCACTTTCCTGTCTTAAAAATAAATACATAGGCGAGAGAAACTAAATCTGTAAGTTAAGCATACAGCTTACAAAAAAAAAGTAAATTTTCTACAAGTCTCAAACAGTAATAGCATGATCCTGCAGAGGGCACCCTAAGGTTAATGACATTTAACCTTACGGTGTAACAACTGTATGCTGTTGTCCTGCTAGCAAGATAAAGCTAAACGGTTGCCCAAAGCCACGTGTCAAACTCAGGCCCGGGGCCCAAATCTGGTCCGTAGTGTAATTATATTTGGCCCAAATGTGGACTAGGGTTGGCCCGCCAGTATATAGCCCCTGTATACTGACAGGATTTGTCGTATTAGCAGTGTATACGCTATATTATAGCACATACATTTTGTGTTTTTGTCGTTGGCCTGTGAAAAAAAAAAAATTCTCATGTTTTTAAAATATTAAGCTTTAGTTTAGATTCAATGTTTCTGCGAAACTAAAGTGTGTTTACATATGAAAAAATTCTACATTACGGATCTGGAGAGAAGGGAAAAGATTAACAATTTTTTAATAAATATTACGTTTGGCCCCTGACTTGATCCCAGTTTTTAATTTTGCCCCAGTGTGAATTTGACTTTGACTCCCCTGTCCCCAAACAAATAAGACCAACTTTGTACTTTAAATGATGGTCCTAACCTTTTATCTGGTGTTTTTGTCACTATACTCTACGGAGCGTCCGGAAAATACGGTAGATGCAAAACCAAAGCCAAAGTTTTACCCGGGAGAGAAAGAGTTAAAATTCCCTTTCTGCTGCACTTGCAACCACAGGCTGTTGTTCACTGTAGACGTCTGGTTGTGTGTAATTTGTCCTAGTGCATTAGCTCAGACATTGTCCCCTGACGGGAAGACAATTCATCAAATGTATAAAGTGTTTAAACAACACCGACAACACTGGAGTCAGGTGGGGCCCGAAGTTGAAGGAATATTCTGGATGGCGTCAGTCTTTATACTTTGAGAGTAAACACTGGACATTTTTTAAGAGTCTGTTCACTGCTGGAATGTTGTGAGACTGAAGGAAAGTCTTAAATGTGAGGATCATCTGACGAGGCTGATCGAGATGAGTTTCAGTGACAAAACAGAGGTTAGTTTTCCAAAGAGGTCTAATATTTTATAGCTTCAACTCCAAGCAAAGATACATTGGTCTTTCTGTAGCAAATCAGTCATACGTCTTGAGCCTTACCATCTGAGCGGAGGCGCTGTATTCATTCTGGTCGTTGAGGTGACACAGTCCGTCGTGAGGCTGGACCAGGCCTCCCAGTCTGCCGTCCAGAGCCAGGTGAGGAACATCATCTGTGGCGAACACCAGCAGGTGGTAGGCTTCTTTTCTCCAGCCTATTTCATTCTGTCGTAAAGAAGAAACACACTCTGCATATGTTAGAGTCTGTAATTCTGACTTTGCTTTTTATATTTTATTAAGACGTAGGGATCGGCCTATGATAATAATATAACATTAGAACTTTTCTCATTTGGAACAATCTTGTATTTTCAATTATGTTCCCATAGACATATATTTATTTTTTTTAGATGTTAACTCTTCAATCAATATTTATATTTATATATTAGCAATGACTTTCATTCCTTAAACAAACAAACGACAAACAGCAATCGATTTCATACTAGTTATGGAAACATTTTTGGTAGTTTATCTGTTTTTCCATGTTATGTACAATTACACAAAAAAATAAAAAAGTAACTATTTTTAGTAGCCCTTATCTTTTTATCTAATCTTATCTAATTTTTTTTTTTTTTACAAAAATACAACTAATATTGGTTCATTTTTGTCTTGTTTAATAATGTGATCAGGTTTACTTTTGTATCCTTTCACTATTCCCTGGTAGCGGCTGCTAACTAGTTAGCATCTAGCCTTTACTAAAATCAATATACTCTGCACATATCTCAGAATCCTTTCTTCAACCATGTCTCGACTCACTGCAACATTCCACTACTTCCCACTAATCTACAACAAACAGAGTATTTTTCTGCATTGGAAACGGATAGCGGTCTATTATCAACTGAAAACAATAGCGACATTAGCGATACGCTAGCAAACGTGTCAAACTTCACCTTTCAGTCGAGTTCAAAACAAGTCTGCCGGCCTTTTGTCTATTATTGGTTCAGTTAAGTAAACAATAGAGCTGTGATTATACACACACACACGTGTGTGTGTGAACAGGCTGGGTTTAGTATCTCAACAATAACATGCCCTAGAAACTATTTCCTGCCCAAACACAGTGATATCTACATTCCCTTGTTGCCGACAGTGTAAAAACCAGGCGGTCAACAGTCGGTAAACTACTACTCGTCTTCGCAATGACACCATCTTTGAATGTTCACTTGCTTTTTCTTTAGTATTTCTGTGAATCAAAAGTCAAACTCTTGCAGAACATACAAATGTTTCATTTTCTAATCAAAAGAATAATTACGTTTTAGTTTAATAATGCTTTTTCATTATCAAAAAATATTATTTATTTGTCTTATTATTGTATGTTTGAGAAAATAAATTGTGTATTTTCTGCATTGAAAGGTAAAACACAAAATGTGAAACCACAATATATATAAACATTTAGGGTATTCATTTCTAATTTTTGTTATTAAAACGCTAACTTTTCGTACATTTTCATTCATTTGTTGTTGTTTTCTTGTATTAACAGACGGGTTCAACAAAGCACTTAAATTATATTTTTTAAAGTGTTGACAACAGTTTAGATCTCAAAGGTCAATTAGGTATTTCAGCCCAGTCTCCGCCCAGTCTCGGTCCAGAGCAGTGTGTTTGAAATAGTGCGGCCAGCGTTAATTACAGGGCAGGAGCAACTCGCAGGAAGTCATTCTCTTTCTGAACAGAACAATTCGACTGGAAGAGAAGAGCGGGGATGAGGGACTGTTGCTCCTGGCTAACCAGCTGCACCGCATCTTACTTCCTGTCCGTCCCACTCGGTGCTGATAATTAACGAGTACAGACCGGTGTGTGTCAGGAGAGCGTCACAGGGGTCAATAAACCAAATGGGCGGGTACCTGGTGTTAACTCGGGTCAGTCTGACAGTGGTCATAATTTCAGGATCAAACATCGAAAAAAAAAAAAAAAAAAAAAGAGGGAAGTCATGGCCTTGCAGCCTCAGCTCACAGCATACCGGAGGAGAAAAAAGGAAATGATACGAACTGCAAGTTGCAGCATCGGTATCAGACATGAAGTAAAACTGCAGGCTGCATGGATTGTTTTGTCTTTCTTCTTCTCCAAAGTGAATTATTTGTCTCCATTTGCTCCTCATTCTATGACATCGTCAACATCCCTCAAGCTCAAGTCTAAACCGTTTTAATTTGTACTCCTTCAACCCGATCGCCTCAAAACTGTTCGAACAACGGCTACTTTACGTTGCTCTGAGGTTGCTCTAGTATATACGACATGCAATGTCGACATGCAATCACCTTACAAACAGCGGCCTGCAGGATAGCGTCAAATCCACCCTCGGGTGCATCGCGGTTGCGCGATACGATCTGCTTCTGCACCTCCTGGTTGAATCGGTCCACTTCGTCGGTCAGCGACAGGATGTTGCGGAAACCAAAACTTGGGGCGCAGCTGGGAAACGGTTTGTATCTGTGTAGGATCACACAAGGAACTGAAATTAGTGAAATGACATCGTCAGAGTTGGCCACCAAAAAAAACAAACAAACAAAACAGTCTGATATTAACCTTTTGCCGACATCCGATATGCTAATTTGCAGAGTAGAGTGCAGAAATCGGGTTTTCATTATCGGAGGGAAAAAAAACGATAATTCTTACCAATATTATGTAATGCTAATATTGGCTAATAATATCGGTTGGCCGGTAAAAAATATCCAGCAAATGTAAACAAAGCCATCTTCCAGGTATAACGCCGTGCGACAACATATTCCTTGCCAAATTTGTTCTAAAGCCGTACATCGGAAAGATGGAAGTAGGAGAGTTTCGTGAGAGAATTGGAAAAACTACAAGTGCGTAGTATTGACTGGATGGACAATCACAAACTGATTTCTTCAAACAACTGGAACTGGTTATACTGTAGTTCAATATTTTCTTATTTAACAGATTTCTCCTTGAATGTTACGTCAACGACATTTTAGTTTTGATCATGGAGTGTCTTTTTAAAAAAAAAAAAAAGTTCTTTTTTCGTACGAGAGTTGAGCATTGACAGAAGCTCCCCAGGGTCATAGTGTCATCCGGAATCCCTTTCAAATCTCCCTGCTGTGCTCAACTATGTGTGACCTGAACACACACACACACATGCGAGCACACAAGCCACACCACAACCTAGATGTGAAGTGATGCGTGATGGCAGGCAGAGCGTTGGTGCAGCATTAGCTCACCTCTAGGGCAGACACAGAGTGAACCACAGCTTTTTAGCCTCAGATCTTTCTGCTCCTTTTCACTGCATGATAAGCAACGACGTTAAGTCGGGACCAGAAATGACAGGAAGTGGCCGATATTTCTTTGCTGTATCAAAACTGTGCATTCCAGGTTTTATCAAATCACTTCACACCTGAGTCATGACAGTCTAAACTGCATTGAGAATTGTATTGTCAAATAAAAAAAATGGATTTAGGTTTCAAACATTCCGTTAATGAAGGTTTGGTAAAAATCAAACGTTTAGTTTGGAAACATTTTGTAGACGTTGTAAATCCATAGAATATGCTTTTAGCCTGTTATGCGCCATCTATTGGTGAAATGAGGACAATGCTCAAAACTAATAACATAATTTGGACAAGTGAGGCAGGCCGGGTTAAAAAGCCAAACGGGCCATATCCGGCCCCCGGGCCGTAGTTTGCTCATGCCTGAGCCTGGAGACTAAGATACACCAACCACTCACCCTTTGCATGGATTCTCCTGGTACTTCGGTGACGTGTAGGAAAACGGGGATATATTTTTGTCCACAAAGGAGCCAAAGCCGAGTCTGAAGTTGCTGGTGAGTTTTCCCATCTCCTCTGCCAGTTTGGTGCCCAGGTTACGGATGGTGTCCAGATCATCTTTCATGGAAAGGGAGAGGTCCATCAGGTAGTAGAGATCCACTGGGTAATCCTCGACCTGCCGCACCTGCAGGCCGAACCAGGTCTGGTCTCCTGAGGAGGTACGTAGAAGCAGGGGAAAATGTGAGATTTACTACAATAATTTGTGCAACAAAAATGTTTGTTTTTTGTCTACTTACCTGGTCGCAAACTGAGGGAAATCTGCTGAGGCGCCATCTGAACGACATTGTACAGAGTCGACCCAGAACCTTTGGAACTCAGTGGGTTATTTTGCAGAACTGAGACGCTGCTGGTGGGGTATTCTATGTGCTGAGTTAAGCAGCCTCTCTTCTGCAGGTTCTGACTGAAATCACACCGAAATGTCAGAGTCCGGCCTTTCCCAAAATCCTAAAGAAGAGACAGGAAGGAAAAGGAAAGTGAACTACTTGTCACTGTGACTCTGCACACAACCAAATGTGACCTCTGTCTTAAACCCATCACCAAAGTGAACAGACGGTGCCGTGCTCAGAGGATCTCAGTGGTAACTTGGCAGCTGGTGGATTTGAACCTGAAACCTTACTACATATACTACAGCCTGACACATATGGATACTGGAAATGTTCATTGTGTGTATATAAATATTTTTTCTTTATATATATATATATATATAAATATAAAAGAGTAGCAGTAGTGCATGAATGGAGTGTGGGAAAAAAAAAATCAGTGGTTGGGGGCAGGAGGGTGGTTGACATTGTTGCTGTTGACAGCCACTAAAGTGCATCGCTGCAAGTGATCTATAATCTAGTTTGTATACTTGTATACAACCCAAAACAATATGATATAATGGCTGATGATGGGAGAAAGGCTGTACCTGTTGTGCGCACCAGGCGCAGCTTGGATGAATAAGGAGACATTCTTCACAGGAAGTAGCGCTGCCACTCATGCACATGTTAAGTCCTGAAAAAATGTTGAAAAAAAAAAGTTATTTTTTTATACATATATATATGTGTGTGTGTGTGTAGTAAATTCAACAAAAATTGAGGGGAAAAAAGAGAATAAACAACAAACGAAAAACACAACAGCTTTTTTAAAAAATGAAGAAAAAAAAAAGAATTCTCAAAAAAAAAAAACATCTTACCATTCAACTGTTTGGTGAGAGGCAAACAATTGACATAGTTTAATAGAATTTTTTACAATAATCTTACTGGGTATCGCAGCTGCAACTAACTATTCAACTCAGCCCAAATCACAGCAGGGGAAAGACGAGACCAAACCTGTTTTGAGCCATAGGTGGGACCAAATGATGCCATGACTTAATCTGGACTTTTACCAAGTCTGAGTCAATGTTAGACTTATATGAATACCAAAACAATGTTAAACTGGAAAGACCAAATTAAGGAATAACTACAACAAACAGGAAACCAAACCAATCCAGAGCTAATTCAAAACCAAGTCTGGCCTTGGTCTTGCCTTGATTTTGCCATGGTTTGTTGCCTGTCTTATAGCTATATATCCAGACCTGACAGTTTGGTTTTGGTCTGGTCTCAGTTTGACCACGTTTCCGTGATGGTTTTCGGCATATGGCTCGTTTATCCTCGGCCTTAGCACAAATCTGGTGGTGGTTTTTGCTACGTTTGGATCATGGCAGCAGAAATCCGGTGGTGGTTTTGCCATGTCTGGGTCTTGGTAGCAGAAATCTGGTTTAGGTCATGACTCAGGTTTTAGTTGGAGTTGGGTTTCAGGGACACTCCAGTAGGTTTGGAGATAGACACATGTATTTGTTTCCATTCTAATCACGCCACTTTAGATGAACAGAATCCTCAAAAAAAAAATCTTCAGTTCGTTAATGGTCAAAACACCGGCTGAAAGTTTTAGCAAATTTGTACCAAACTAAAATATAAATCTAACAGTATTACGCAGCAGAGAGGACACGTCTGCTCTCTCATACCCACCTACAACTGTGTGCGTTAAAGTCTCCAGGATCACGCAGCACAGAGCGGCTCTGCACATCCACCACCTCGGAATCCACATGGTGTCACTGACGGCGTCTGGTCCGCTGTGAAATCCCACAACAAAATCTCCTTGCTTCACTCACAGCTGACTTTGGATTATTTACAACTTTTCCATACCAGAGCGGCGCGGTTTGAACCACCTCGGTAAATACCGCCAAAGCTCCTACTAATCCCGGCTCACGATCGAGGATCCGTGCGCTTCAGTGCACAAAACGTCTTCTGTGCACCACCGGGTTACGGAGACTTCTTCAGCGGACACAGGACCCTGTCTGCAGCCGTCCAAGTCTCCACAGCTTCAGCCTCTGCTGCTGACATTCCCACAGCGACAGCAGCTGTTCCACAGTTTGGGCTCCATGGAGCTTCGAGCGTTAAATCCAATCAAGCAAAGGCAGAAGAAGAAGAAGAGAGAAAAAAAAACAGAGAGAGAGAAGTTAGGACAGAAAACACGTACACTTTCAACCACAGCGACTTTCTTATCTCAGGTTTCTCTGTTGACTGATGGTTTGTCCGGTTCGTGTCTCGGCTCTGTGGCCCCGCCTGTGCGATGGGAGAACGTTTTAACCCCTTGGCTTCCGGGTTGAACGGACGTTGACACCGATCATTAACAGAGTGTGGGTCGTGACCACTCATTTTTATAGTTGTGCAATGCATTTTATTTAACGCGGCTTGTCATAAAACCTATTACTTTAACAATTACAGCCGCGTTGTTTTGTCCATGCTGTGGCAAAGCTACAAGATCCTACTGGAGATCAAACTACAACAAGTATCACCTTTTTTTAGCTAAGTAAATATTGGAGTTATTTCCTGCCGGGAAATAATGAAATAATTAATTTTCAAGTATAAGAAATTAACCCATAGTGAAACAAACAAACAAAATTAAGTGATACTCCAAAATGATTGAGCAATATTTTCAATGTGCATTTTTTTAATTTAACATAACCCATACACCTGGTGTGAACAATAAACCCACACAGAACAGAGGAACTTTCAATGGAGTTCGTAAACCAGACATTTTCAGAACTTTTTGAGGCAATAACTTTTAATTGAAAACTCAATTTTAGAAGTTTTTAACATTAGGTTGTTCTCTTCATTTATATTTTGCTAGTCTGTGACTTGCTCAGAACTCAAGTTATTTTTTGTGATTATAAATCTGTGGTTAGAAATCTTGAACACGATCTTACAAACCTTTTGAGGAACAAAAAAAAAAAAAGATTAACTGGCCATGAACATAACACATCTATTTCCGGCTCATGCGTTAGCGTCCGTCTCTGACCTGGTCAACAACTCTGACGCCAGCTCCCTTATTTTCCTGAGGGGCAGACCAATAAGATGCCCCCGGTGCTGTGCCCTCAGCTCTATCAGTGCTTCAACAATCGTCTCCCTCTTGATTGACGGGTGCAGCTTTCTTAGTTGTGACATCAGGGTGTCGAAACTGCCCATAGTGCCGAAGTGCTGCGGCACGAACGTGGCCCCTGCTCTGGGCGACTTGGAGATCACCATCCCGTGCGTGTCGCTGGCGCTTCCAGACAGAGCAGACGCTGACTGAGGGAGATGAGGGAGATCATTTTGTAAAAGATGTCAGATTCAGCTCGCCGCTCTGATACTTGAAGACTCTCACCTCCTCGCCGGTTGTTCCGGGTTCGGCCGTTGTCGACTTTGGCTCAGTGGACTCGGGTTTTAACGGGTGTCCCTTTGCATTGAAGCCCTTCAGTTCCTTTAAAGCAGCTTCAGCGTGGATTTTTGGCAGAGAGACCACGGCAACTCTTGAAAACAAAGGACACATTCATATTCAAAGCTGTATCTATCTTTCTGAGGTATTTAACTCTTATAAAAACCAGTGCACCAGGACTTTCCTCTTAACTCACCTTAAATCATTTCCCATCTTTGTCATTATTACATCAGAGGGACAGTATTTCTTAAACCACAGCATCACATCCCGCTGGAAAAGACAAGAGATTTATGGAAAGCCTCTACTGCCCCTCGGTGGCCACAAGAGCGCGGTACACAGTTAAGCTGAATTCAAATCCACAACTGTCTTGTGAACAGCGTTCGTCTTAAGTGCTGTGATGAGTGTGAATACCGTGTCATTGACCCTCACCTCTGTGACATCATCAGGCAAACAGAAAATGGAACACTGCATCTCCTCCTTAGAAGACCCTGTTTTGCAGCAAATGCATCGCAATGAGTTGTTTAAGACACTAAATGTACCAGATTGCCCATGTAGTACATCAATAATATGATATATATAGTTAATGATACAAATATATGTTTTTTCCAGATTGTGGAATAATGTAGATTTACACTTGCCCTCAGTTTCATCACTGTTGTCATTGGTTGAATGTGGTTTTTCCTTTGCTGGTTCTGGTTGGTTCAGGTCTTCTTTAGCATCAAACCATGCTTCACTTGTGTTGAGTTCTTGACATGCAAGTCATGCCCCCCAACACCCGCAAAAAAAATGTTAGTATTTATCTTTAGACATTTAAAAAAAAAAAAAAAAAAAGAACATAAAAAAAACAGAGAAAGAGAGATGTTTTTGTTTACCAGTTTTTATCTCCAGCAGCTTATGGGAGTCTTTGTCCGAGACCTTGTCCTGATGAATCGCAGTCACTGTCTTCTTGGTTTTTCTCTTTC